CCCCCCATGGCTGGGCCATGATCTGGTTACAGTCACAGTCCCCATGTGATTACCCCCCCCCCCTCCAGTGACAGGATGGAGTGTTATATGCCAGGCCATGCAACCTGATCTCTGGCACGGTGGCGGAGAGGAAGCTGGCCTGCACCTCGGTCACAGTGAGATCCCATAAAGCACCTTCCTGCGGCAATGGTTTTATGGCGGCTGTTCCAGGAAAACACGACTGCTGATGGGCCCAGGTTCAGGACAGCAGATGGGTGACATGTCATCGGTTCGGGGACTGCTGATGGGCCCAGGTTCAGGACAGCAGATGGGTGACATGTGTCATCGGTTCGGGGACTGCTGATGGGCTGATGGGCCCGGGTTCAGGACAGCAGATGGGTGACATGTGTCATCGGTTCGGGGACTGCTGATGGGCTGATGGGCCCGGGTTCAGGACAGCAGATGGGTGACGTGTCATCGGTTCGGGGGACTGCTGATGGCCCCGGTTCAGGACAGCAGATGGGTGACATGTGTCATCGGTTCGGGGACTGCAGATGGCCCCGGGTTCAGGACAGCAGATGGGTGACATGTCATCGGTGTTCGGGGACTGCTGATGGGCCCGGGTTCAGGACAGCAGATGGGTGACATGTCATCGGTTCGGGGGACTGCTGATGGGCCCGGGTTCAGGACAGCAGATGGGTGACGTGTCATCGGTTCGGGGACTGCTGATGGGCCCGGGTTCAGGACAGCAGATGGGTGACGTGTCATCGGTTCGGGGACTGCTGATGGGCCCGGGTTCAGGACAGCAGATGGGTGACATGTCATCAGTTCGGGGGACTGCTGATGGGCCCGGGTTCAGGACAGCAGATGGGTGACATGTCATCGGTTCGGGGGGACTGCTGATGGGCCCGGGTTCAGGACAGCAGATGGGTGACGTGTCATCGGTTCGGGGACTGCTGATGGGCCCGGGTTCAGGACAGCAGATGGGTGACATGTGTCATCGGTTCGGGGACTGCTGATGGGCCCGGGTTCAGGACAGCAGATGGGTGACATGTGTCATCGGTTCGGGGACTGCTGATGGGCCCGGGTTCAGGACAGCAGATGGGTGACATGTGTCATCGGTTCGGGGACTGCTGATGGGCTGATGGGCCCGGGTTCAGGACAGCAGATGGGTGACGTGTCATCGGTTCGGGGGACTGCTGATGGCCCCGGGTTCAGGACAGCAGATGGGTGACATGTGTCATCGGTTCGGGGACTGCAGATGGCCCCGGGTTCAGGACAGCAGATGGGTGACATGTCATCGGTTCGGGGACTGCTGATGGGCCCGGGTTCAGGACAGCAGATGGGTGACATGTCATCGGTTCGGGGGGACTGCTGATGGGCCCGGGTTCAGGACAGCAGATGGGTGACGTGTCATCGGTTCGGGGACTGCTGATGGGCCCGGGTTCAGGACAGCAGATGGGTGACGTGTCATCGGTTCGGGGACTGCTGATGGGCCCGGGTTCAGGACAGCAGATGGGTGACATGTCATCGGTTCGGGGGACTGCTGATGGGCCCGGGTTCAGGACAGCAGATGGGTGACGTGTCATCGGTTCGGGGACTGCTGATGGGCCCGGGTTCAGGACAGCAGATGGGTGACATATGTCATCGGTTCGGGGGACTGCTGATGGGCCCGGGTTCAGGACAGCAGATGGGTGACGTGTCATCGGTTCGGGGACTGCTGATGGGCCCGGGTTCAGGACAGCAGATGGTGACATGTCATCGGTTCGGGGACTGCAGATGGGCCCGGGTTCAGGACAGCAGATGGGTGACGTGTCATCGGTTCGGGGACTGCAGATGGGCTGATGGGCCCGGGTTCAGGACAGCAGATGGGTGACATGTGTCATCGGTTCGGGGACTGCTGATGGGCTGATGGGCCCGGGTTCAGGACAGCAGATGGGTGACATGTGTCATCGGTTCGGGGACTGCTGATGGGCCCAGGTTCAGGACAGCAGATGGGTGACATGTGTCATCGGTTCGGGGACTGCTGATGGGCTGATGGGCCCGGGTTCAGGACAGCAGATGGGTGACATGTGTCATCGGTTCGGGGACTGCTGATGGGCCCGGGTTCAGGACAGCAGATGGGTGACATGTGTCATCGGTTCGGGGACTGCTGATGGGCTGATGGGCCCGGGTTCAGGACAGCAGATGGGTGACGTGTCATCGGTTCGGGGGACTGCTGATGGCCCCGGGTTCAGGACAGCAGATGGGTGACATGTGTCATCGGTTCGGGGACTGCAGATGGGCCCGGGTTCAGGACAGCAGATGGGTGACGTGTCATCGGTTCGGGGACTGCTGATGGGCCCGGGTTCAGGACAGCAGATGGGTGACATGTCATCGGTTCGGGGGACTGCTGATGGGCCCGGGTTCAGGACAGCAGATGGGTGACGTGTCATCGGTTCGGGGACTGCTGATGGGCCCGGGTTCAGGACAGCAGATGGGTGACGTGTGTCATCGGTTCGGGGACTGCTGATGGGCCCGGGTTCAGGACAGCAGATGGGTGACATGTCATCGGTTCGGGGGACTGCTGATGGGCCCGGGTTCAGGACAGCAGATGGGTGACATGTGTCATCGGTTCGGGGGACTGCTGATGGGCCCGGGTTCAGGACAGCAGATGGGTGACGTGTCATCGGTTCGGGGACTGCTGATGGGCCCGGGTTCAGGACAGCAGATGGGTGACATGTCATCGGTTCGGGGACTGCAGATGGGCCCGGGTTCAGGACAGCAGATGGGTGACGTGTCATCGGTTCGGGGACTGCAGATGGGCTGATGGGCCCGGGTTCAGGACAGCAGATGGGTGACGTGTCATCGGTTCGGGGACTGCAGATGGGCCCGGGTTCAGGACAGCAGATGGGTGACATGTGTCATCGGTTCGGGGGACTGCTGATGGGCCCGGGTTCAGGACAGCAGATGGGTGACGTGTCATCGGTTCGGGGACTGCTGATGGGCTGATGGGCCCGGGTTCAGGACAGCAGATGGGTGACGTGTCATCGGCGTACGTCAATGGCTGCAGCACAACTGGGGCCCGCGGGACCAGCCGGATGATTGACCGTCACTTTAACTGCAGAGATAGCTCACATTGTGGAACGCGGCAGCTTGTGTCGGCGTTTGGGAAGTTCTAAGACTTGGGATGGCCGCAAAGCAGATGAGATGAAAGGGAAGAGATGACCTCCTGTCATTGGTCGGGGGAGGGGGGGGGGGTGCGACACGGACGTGGAATCTTTATTGACATGTCTTCGGATGTCAGCGCTGTAACAGGGCGGTCAGGTGAAGGGTATGCAGTGCAATTAAGTGGCACCTGTTCTAGAGTACATTCTGTAACTGGGGGAGGGGCGGTGGGGGGGGGGGGGGGGGTCAGAAGGACAAAGAGAAGGTAACTGAGCATCAAAAGACATCTTTGTGGAGAGAATGGCAACCTGACCTACATGTGGCAGTTGGTCACATGACCTGGTTAGGTGGTACCAGAGAATTTTGGGGGGACCGAAGTTCAGGAAGAGCGGGCCAATTGGTGGCTCCCTCTAATCCAGTGGTTCTCAACAGCCAGGCCATGCAGACCTGAAGAGCCTCCACCCCACTGCAGTGCATCCCAGCCCCCCACAGGGCCCCTTACCTCCAACAGTGATCTACAGTGCACCCCAGCCCCCCACAGGGCCCCTTACCTCCAACAGTGATCTACAGTGCATCCCAGCCCCCCACAGTGCCCCTTACCTCCAACAGTGATCTACAGTGCATCCCTGCCCCCCACAGTGCCCCTTACCTCCAACAGTGATCTACAGTGCATCCCAGCCCCCCACAGGGCCCCTTACCTCCAACAGTGATCTGCAGTGCATCCCAGCCCCCATAGTGCCCCTTACCTCTAACAGTGATCTGCAGTGCATCCCAGCCCCCCACAGGGCCCCTTACCTCCAACAGTGATCTGCAGTGCATCCCAGCCCCCATAGTGCGCCTTACCTCCAACAGTGATCTGCAGTGCATCCCAGCCCCCCACAGTGCCCCTTACCTCCAACAGTGATCTACAGTGCATCCCAGCCCCCCACAGGGCCCCTTACCTCCAACAGTGATCTACAGTGCATCCCAGCCCCCCACAGTGCCCCTTACCTCCAACAGTGATCTGCAGTGCATCCCAGCCCCCATAGTGCCCCTTACCTCTAACAGTGATCTGGAGGTCCCCAGCCCCCCACAGTGCCCCCCCAACTTCCGATATCGTCTTATACACTTGTCACGAATCGGAGATACTTACGACTGGCAGGCGAAGGACATGCCGAAGATGGGAATGCAGCGGAATATTCCCTGGAAGCGGGCGTAGCTGACCTCCTTCATCCATTGTCCGCTGAAGAGGCCATGCTTGAAGGAGGAGACAACAATCTGCAGACAGAAACATGAAGGGTGCGATGAAGGAAAGGAACTCCCAGGAGACACAAACTGCAACTGAAAGAGAGGAAAATAGTCCCTTCTGCTTCCTGTCTCAGAGATACAACAGGAAGTGAGGGGAAATCTCTGCCCAGTGTGGGGCACGGAGCACCCAGCAGCCCCCACCGCCGAGCCCTGATCTGCTGACAGTCACAGTTCCAGGCCCTGTGTGATGGGACAAAAACGCCCGGTGGGGGCAGTCACCATAACAGGCGTCCCCAATGACACCACAAAGCTCCTAATTCACTCCCTGGTCATCTCTCCCCTCGACTACTGCAACTCCCTCCTCATTGGCTGACCTTTACATAGGCCACCCCCCCTCCAGTCCATCATGAATACTGCTGCCAGGCTCATCCACCTTACCAACCACTCAGTGTCCTCCATCTCTCTCGACCAATCCCTCCACTGGCCTCCACTCAGTGTCCTCCACTCCTTCCTTCCAATCCCTCCACTGGCCTCCATTCAGTGTCCTCCACTCCTTCCTTCCAATCCCTCCACTGGCCTCCATTCAGTGTCCTCCATCCCTCTCTGCCAATCCCTCCACTGGCCTCCACTCAGTGTCCTCCACCCCCCTCTGCCAATCCCTCCACTGGCCTCCACTCAGTGTCCTCCACCCCCCCTCTGCCAATCCCTCCACTGGCCTCCACTCAGTGTCCTCCACCCCCCTCTGCCAATCCCTCCACTGGCCTCCACTCAGTGTCCTCCACCCCTCTGTGCCAATCCCTCCACTGGCCTCCACTCAGTGTCCTCCACTCCTTCCTTCCAATCCCTCCACTGGCCTCCATTCAGTGTCCTCCACCCCTCTCTGCCAATCCCTCCACTGGCCTCCACTCAGTGTCCTCCACCCCCCTCTGCCAATCCCTCCACTGGCCTCCACTCAGTGTCCTCCACCCCCCTCTGCCAATCCCTCCACTGGCCTCCATTCAGTGTCCTCCACCCCTCTCTGCCAATCCCTCCACTGGCCTCCACTCAGTGTCCTCCACCCCCCTCTGCCAATCCCTCCACTGGCCTCCATTCAGTGTCCTCCACCCCTCTCTGCCAATCCCTCCACTGGCCTCCACCCCATCTCTGCCAATCCCTCCACTGGCCTCCATTCAGTGTCCTTCACCCCCCTCTGCCAATCCCTCCACTGGCCTCCATTCAGTGTCCTCCACCCTTCTCTGCCAATCCCTCCACTGGCCTCCATTCAGTGTCCTCCACCCTTCTCTGCCAATCCCTCCACTGACCTCCACTCAGTGTCCTCCACCCCCCTCTGCCAATCCCTCCACTGGCCTCCATTCAGTGTCCTCCACCCCCTCTGCCAATCTGTCCACTGGCCTCCACTCAGTGTCCTCCACCCCTCTCTGCCAATCCCTCCACTGGCCTCCACTCAGTGTCCTCCACCCCTCTCTGCCAATCCCTCCACTGGTCTCCATTCAGTGTCCTCCACCCCCCTCTGCCAATACCTCCACTGGTCTCCATTCAGTGTCCTCCACCCCCCTCTGCCAATCCCTCCACTGGCCTCCATTCAGTGTCCTCCACCCCCCTCTGCCAATCTGTCCACTGGCCTCCACTCAGTGTCCTCCACCCCTCTCTGCCAATCCCTCCACTGGCCTCCACTCAGTGTCCTCCACCCCTCTCTGCCAATCCTCCACTGGTCTCCATTCAGTGTCCTCCACCCCCCTCTGCCAATACCTCCACTGGTCTCCATTCAGTGTCCTCCACCCCCCTCTGCCAATACCTCCACTGGCTTCCCATTGCCAAACGAATAAAAAATTCAAAACACAACAACTTACAGAGCCATCCACAACTCTGCCCCCGGCTACATCACCAACCTGGTCTCAAAATATCAACCAAAACACTCTCTTCGATCCTCCCAAGACCTTCTGCTCTCTAGTTCCTGTGTCACCTCCTCCCATGCTCACCTCCAGGACTTCTCCGAAGCTTCTCCCATCCAATGGAACTCCCTACCCCAATTTGTCCGGCTATCTCCTAATCTATCCACCTTTAGACGATCCCTGAAAAAGTTTCTCTTTAAAGAAGTCTCTCCTGCTTCCACCTAGTAAACTGCCATTTATTTCCTCCATCAGCCCATCCCCCCCCACAGCTATTACCTTTTGTTTCAGTCAACCCTTCCTCCTAGATTGTAAGCTCCCAGGATCAGGGCCGTCTATTTCCTCTTGTACCAAATTGTATTGTAACTGTAAAGTCTGCCTTCATTTTGTACAGCGCTGCGCACACTGTTGGCGCCATATAAAATCCTATAAAATAATAATAATTGGTAGATTTCCCCTCTATTTCTGCTCCAACGGCAAATGTCAGTTTTGGGTTTCCCATCACTTTTTGTCCTGATGAAAACGGTGACCAGGTCAAAAATTGAGGGAGAATGTCCCCAGCACACCGAGGGCCACCAATACGGGTCCAAACGTTTGAATGAACGACCGCAGTTACAGCAAGGCAACGTTTTCTGATCTTGGTCACATGCCTGATGAAGGGGTCCTGCGTGACTCCGAAACGTTGCCTTGACTCGGGGTGTTGGGTGCGGATGGAAGACACTTCCAGCCCTGCTGCTGGCAGACTATGAAAGTCTATGAGAGGCTGACAGCAGCTGCGGCTGCACTGTGACACTCTACGAGAGGCTGACAGCGGCTGCGGCTGGACTGTGAATCTCTATGAGAGGCTGACAGCTGCTGCGGCTGGACTGTGAAACTCTACGAGAGGCTGACAGCGGCTGCGGCTGGACTGTGAATCTCTATGAGAGGCTGACAGCTGCTGCGGCTGGACTGTGAAAAACTCTATGAGAGGCTGACAGCTGCTGCGGCTGGACTGTGAAACTCTACGAGAGGCTGACAGCGGCTGCGGCTGGACTGTGAAACTCTGTGAGAGGCTGACAGCTGCTGGCAGACTATGAAAGTCTATGAGAGGCTGACAGTGGCTGCGGCTGGACTGCGATACTCTATGGGAGGCTGACAGCGGCTGCGGCTGTGATACTCTATGAGAGGCTGACAGCGGCTGCGGCTTGACTGTGAAACTCTACGAGAGGCTGACAGTGGCTGCGGCTGGACTGTGAAACTCTACGAGAGGCTGACAGTGGCTGCGGCTGGACTGTGAAACTCTACGAGAGGCGGACAGCTGCTGCGGCTGGACTGTGAAACTCTACGAGAGGCGGACAGCTGCTGCGGCTGGACTGTGATACTCTATGAGAGGCTGACAGCTGCTGGACTGTGATACTCTATGGGAGGCTGACAGCGGCTGCGGCTGGACTGTGATACTCTATGGGAGGCTGACAGCGGCTGCGGCTGGACTGTGATACTCTATGGGAGGCTGACAGCGGCTGCGGCTGGACTGTGATACTCTATGGGAGGCTGACAGCGGCTGCGGCTGGACTGTGATACTCTTTGGGAGGCTGACAGCGGCTGCGGCTGGACTGTGATACTCTTTGGGAGGCTGACAGCGGCTGCGGCTGGACTGTGATACTCTATGGGAGGCTGACAGCGGCTGCGGCTGGACTGTGAAACTCTACGAGAGGAGGCTGACAGCGGCTGCGGCTGGACTGTGAAACTCTGTGAGAGGCTGACAGCTGCTGGCAGACTATGAAAGTCTATGAGAGGCTGACAGTGGCTGCGGCTGGACTGCGATACTCTATGGGAGGCTGACAGCGGCTGCGGCTGTGATACTCTATGAGAGGCTGACAGCGGCTGCGGCTTGACTGTGAAACTCTACGAGAGGCTGACAGTGGCTGCGGCTGGACTGTGAAACTCTACGATGAGAGGCTGACAGTGGCTGCGGCTGGACTGTGAAACTCTACGAGAGGCGGACAGCTGCTGCGGCTGGACTGTGAAACTCTACGAGAGGCGGACAGCTGCTGCGGCTGGACTGTGATACTCTATGAGAGGCTGACAGCTGCTGGACTGTGATACTCTATGGAGGCTGACAGCGGCTGCGGCTGGACTGTGATACTCTATGGGAGGCTGACAGCGGCTGCGGCTGGACTGTGATACTCTATGGGAGGCTGACAGCGGCTGCGGCTGGACTGTGATACTCTATGGGAGGCTGACAGCGGCTGCGGCTGGACTGTGATACTCTTTGGGAGGCTGACAGCGGCTGCGGCTGGACTGTGATACTCTATGGGAGGCTGACAGCGGCTGCGGCTGGACTGTGCACCGAGCTGTACTCATGTTTAGGGCACTTTGCACCCAGGGATGAATGTCCAGAATATAGACTGCTTGCATTCCGAGCAACTGTCCCTGGACACATATTACCCCCAGCCCGGGTTCACACGCATGCGGTGCGGTATATCGTGGTATATCGCATGGGATTCGCACAGGAACCGCACCGCGTTCCCTGCACATCACATGAGATTTGTGTGCGGTGCGTTCGGAGTCATACATTTTGTATGGCTGGAATCACACCAACCATACGAGCAAGACTCTTTTTGGTCCGCACTAGAGTCGGATCGCATGGGTATTGACTCAACATACACACCCGCAGCGGTTCACATGAGAGGGGTGCGATTACGATGCGGTGTGGAATTGGCACAGAAACCGCTGCGAATTCCGCACTGCATCAGTGTGAACCCGGGCTGAAGGTTAGTACCGTCCAGCTTCTCAGAGTCTGACAGGCTGTCGGCAGCAGAGGTGGACAGTGTGCCTTTTTACCGAGAGTTTGGGAGACTCGCGTGGGGCTCAACGTCCAATGGGCATGAGGCCTGAACCACTTCCCTCCGACCTGGATCATTTCTGTGGCCTCATGAGGGGGGGGGGGTTTAACTGCTTCCCGTCCGCCCCATAGCAGAAGTACTGCTACAGGGCGACAAGGGTGTGCAAAATCAAATGTATATATGCGAGTTTGCATTTCCGGGTGGGGTCCGTGCCCTACCCATGCCGCCATTTGCAGCCTTGGCTGTCAATCCAGGCGGTCCAGGCCGGTGATTATGCGCCGGCGCCTGGTGATTGCCGAACATCTCCGACGGGAGGGGAGAACTGTTTGTAAACAAAACAGATATCTCCCCTGTCAGCTCCTGCACACTGCTTTGTATGGCTCTGCATAGCACAGCCATACAAAGCAGTGTGCTTACAGATTGAAAGCATACACAGCACATAATGTGAAACAGCACACAGTTAACCCTTTGATCGCCCCTCATGTTAACCCCTTCCTGTCCAGTGCCATTAGTACAGTCTCAGGACTTTTTATTAGCACTGATCACTGTATTGGTGTCACTGGGGCTGTCAGTGACAGCAAGTCAGTCCCCCCCCCCAGTGTCAGAATGTCCGCCGCAGTCCCGCTGTAAATCGCTGATCGCCGCCATTACCAGTAAAAAAAAATCCCAGTCTCTATCCCGCCATTTGTAGACGCGATAACTTTCACGTAAACCAATTAATTTACACGTATCGGGATTTTTTCTTTAGCGAAGACACGGAGCAGAATACAGTTTTTTTTCCTCAAAAATCGTCGGTCTTTTTCTGTCTATAGCACAAACAATTAAAAAATGCGGAGGGGATCAAATACCACTGAAAAAAGCTCAATTCGTGGGGGGGGGACGTAAAATTTTCATTTGGGTGCAGTGCTGCAAAATTGTCAGTTAAAGTAACGCAGCGCCGTATAGCAAAAAATGGCATGACGGGGCAAAATCCTATGAAGGGAAAGGGGGGAGGGGGGGGGAATCCTCTGGAGGGCGAGGGGGGGGTGGAATAATCTGGAGGGCGAGGGGGGGTGTAATCTTCTGGAGGGTGGGGGGGGGGGGGGGGGGTGGAATCCTCTGGAAGGCGAGGGGGGTGAAAACCTCTGGAAGGCGAGGGGGGGTATGGTGGAATCCTCTGGAGGGCGAGGGGTGGTATGGTGGAATCCTCTGGAGGGCGAGGGGTGGTATGGTGGAATCCTCTGGAGGGCGAGGGGTGGTATGGTGGAATCCTCTGGAGGGCGAGGGGTGGTATGGTGGAATCCTCTGGAGGGCGAGGGGTGGTATGGTGGAATCCTCTGGAGAGGGCGAGGGGGGAAATTGTGGTGGAATCCTCTGGAGGGTGAGGGGGGGGGGGGGGGATGGAATCCTCTGGAGGACGAGGGGGGGGGGGGGGATGGAATCCTCTGGAGGGAGGGGGTGGGGGGGATGGAATCCTCTGGAGGACTCTAGGGTGTTGGGGGGATGGAATCCTCTGGAGGACGTAGGGGGGGGGGGGGGGGGGGGATGGAATCCTCTGAGGACGAAGGGGGGGGGGGGGGATGGAATCCTCTGGA